TGCAGTGCGGGGGGGGTTATGGTGGGCGGGGCATTGGGAGAGGGGGGGCAGTGCGGGTTGTGAGGGCAGAGGAGGGGGGAGATGAAGGGGTGACGGGGGCGAGGAGGCTAGGTGGGGAGGTAGATTGCAGAAATAGTCTGCATGATGCAGGCCATGCACATAACAATATGTTTGTTCAATATTATTGTTGACATAAAAAATATATACATATTATTTATTTATTACAGGTACTTATATAGTGCCAGCAATTTATGCAGTGCTTTACATATGTATTGTATATTCACATCAGTCCCTAACCCTCAAGGGGCGTGCAATCTAAACTCCCTAACTTACATACATACACATACTAGGGCCAGTTTAGACAGGATCCAATTAACCTACCGGCATGTCCTTGGAGGTGGGAGGAAACCGGAGTACCTGAAGGAAACCCATGCAGGCACAGGGAGAACATGCAAACTCCAGGCAGGTGGTGCAGTGGTTGGGTTTTTAACCAATGACCCTAGTACTGCCAGGTGGAAGTGCTAACCATTTAGCCACTGTGCTGCCCATATACTTCAATAAAAGTGTGATTTAATAAAAAAAAAACAATCATTTTTGGATGAAAAAAGGAAACTGCCTTTTTTTTTTAATGTGTGTGTAGATGAATAATTTGCAAGTGTTATGGGCAGCACGGTGGCTAAATGGTTAGCACTTCCGCCTGGCAGTACTGGGGTCGTTGGTTTGAATCCCAGCCACGGCACCACCTGCCTGGTGTTTGCATGTTCTCCCTGTGCCTGCGTGGGTTTCCTCCGGGTACTCCAGTTTCCTCCCACACTCCAAAGACATGCTGGTAAGTTAATTGGATCCTGTCTAAATTGGCCCTTGTATATGAATGTGAGTTAGGGACCTTAGATTGTATGCCCCTTGAGGGTTAGGGACTGATGTGAATGTACAATATATATGTAAAGTGCTGCGTAAATTGATGGCGCTATATAAGTACCATAAAAAAATAATAATAAATAAGTGTTAGTGATCAGGCAATGTTTTATCTTCAGATGTGAGGACAGCGTAACGAAGAATAAAATGAAAGCTTTTTTAACCAGCACCCTGAACAATGCCCGTGTACTATACTACTACATGATTCATATAGGGATCTGATTCTTTGCAAACGGGAATTGGACTCCTGAAAGATCCTGTATTTACATGACATTTACTATTCACTATCATACAAACCAGGTGACCACCGCCTTCCATTTCCTGCATGTAATGCACAAAATGAGGAATAATATCTGACAACTTCCAACCTGACCTGTTGTGTCCGCCACAGACGCCAGTCTCATGCTGTGGACGTTTATGCATCCTGCACAGAGATGCGTGATCAACTGTATCATGAACAATGTCTTTCTTTGTGTGGACACTCTGCCCCTATCATGACCAGGGGTATGTTCTGCCTTCATGACCACATTGAGTTCAGTTAAAATTTGTAGATTATTATTATACAGAATTTTTATAGCACAGTTGTTGATGCACGTTACAACATAAAGGGAGACAATACACTTACAAAACAGTTCAAAACCAAAGAGTTAGGAGGGCCCTGCTTGTGAGAGCTTACAATCTAAAAGAGAGATGTGAGTGATACAAAAGGCAATATCTGTGAAGCTGGCCATACACTAGTACTGTACAGTGGGTCCCCTACCTCAGTCCTCAAGTACCTCTAACAGGACATGTGTTCATGATCTCCTTCATCTTGTACAGGTGCTTTAAATCAATGTCAATGTCTTGTTATTTGACAACTATGGGAACTCCCAAAACCTGGCCTGTTGGGAGCACTTGAGGAATGAGTTTGGGAACCACTGCACTAGTAGATTTTCAAATGAATGTTCATCCAAAACTTTGTATGAACATTTGTAGAAAACTTCTCACTACATTCAATGACTTGACAAACGTCGTTTGGAAGCACTTCAACATTTTGTTTGCTTTTAACATTCTATTTTGGAACCAAGAGACTTTCCTTAACAAAAACCACATACATTTGTACAAAAAAAAATACACCCTGCTCCTTTGAATTTTCTTGTTACAATCAAAAACAAACACCGTTTGACTCCAGTAGTGAATAGAAAATTGAACAAACATTCTTAAACGAGAAAATTCTAACAACATTCTCCTAGTGTATGGTCAACCTGAGGGATGAGTTGATGGAGATGGTAAAAGATGAATTTTTGAGGGAGGCTGGATAAGAAATATGTTTTTAAGGATCAAGGATGAAAACGCAGTAGGAGATAGCCTGACAGATTGGGGTAGGGAGTTGCAGAAAATGGGAAAGGCTCTGGTGAAGCCCTGGAGGAGAGCATGTGTGGAGTTATACCCACATGGAAGAAAAATATATTTGAAATATATTTTAAAAATATTCTTCCCAAATATATTGACATATATTTGGAATGCTACAATTTTGGCAATATTCAATATATATATATATATATATATATATATATATATATATATATATATACACTCACATACTGCATGTTGAAATGCATTTTTATTACAAAATATATGTAAAATAGTTTTAAAAATACATTTCAAATATACTGTATGTCTTTAAAAATACAAATCTACATTTTTGGAATGCATTTACAAATATGTAAAAATATATGTTAAAATTACTTTTTTATATGTTAAACAAAATCTGAAGAATATATTGAAAAAAATATTTGTTTAAATATTTTCATACATTTTGTAATATATAAAAAATGCAATTCAACATGCAGTGTATATATATATATATATATATATATATACATACATACTGCATGTTGAACTATTTTTCATATATTTTGTAATAAAAACACATTTCAACATGCAGTATATATATATATATTGAATATGGCCAAAATTGTAGCATTTCAAATATATGTCAATATATTTGTGAAAAATATTTTCAAAATATATTTCAAATAGATTTTTCTTCCATATGGGTGAGGGAGCTAGAGAGCAGGAGGTCTTGGGAGGAGCAGAAAGGATGGTTTGGGTCATTATTTGAGATGAACTTGGTGATATAGCTAAGAGCAGAGTTGTTAAAGTCTTGCTAAACCCACAACAGTAAAATCAGTCTGTATATGCAGTAAAGCATGCTTGTTATACTCACTGTGGAACCTAAGGGGTTAATTCTCTGCATTGTGTAAAAAAACTGTCTTCTCTGATCCTCCCCTTCTTCTACTGTTCCCAAACCATCTGCTGATAGAACAGCGCCTTTGGGGGCAATCTGCACATGCTCAGTTTGGTGTGTATTGCTAGAGTTTTTTGGAGGGTTTTTGGGATAGTGCCTGTGATCAGCACAGTGCCAATCAGCGCTGTCTGACAGAGGGTCAGGGGTTATGCAGCCTCAAAGGATGGTCAGGGTCGAACGAAAACTCCTCCTACAAGCTTTAACCAGTGCTCTGCTGGACACTAATAGAAGTCACGAGATTTCTCTAACTGCTGATGAGAAAGGTATTAGTTTATATTTACTAAAATAATTGCATTTCCATGTTCTGTGTACTGTGGGAGATCAGATATAGTGAATGCAGGGTCCTGGGTTTAGCAACACTTTAATGGCTTTGTATGTTGTTATTAGTATTTTGAAAATGACTTGAATTATCAGAAGTCAATGGAGGGATTGGTAGAGAGGGATGGTGGACACTAAGTGGTTGGTAAGCTCTATAAGTATCAACAACAAAAGATCTCAGATATACCTGTGCTGAGATGTTGGTGCCAAGAAGATTTAGTAAAGTACACTGGGCTGTGACCATAGTGGGCTATCAACAGATATCACATGCAAAAATTGTATTTTGTTTTTATATTTTGGAAATCTCACAGGAGATAATGAGTGTCAATTCATCAAATAAAAATATGTGAGATAAATATCGCAAAAAAAAAGAAAAATAGATAAATGACTAAATTCACAAAAAAAAACATACATTCATTATTTATCTCAAGTCACAGCAGTCAGTATTTTTGGAATGTACAAAATAACACTGATGGGAACACTGCACTGGCCAGTAAGTTAAAAGTATACAATGTATCAGTGTGGAAATGTTCTGCTCTGAGCTCAGGAAAGAAAATAAAATGTAACATTTTACCAGAGGGTTATAGTTCTGTGAATGAGGGCACACTAAAACTAAGTTTGGACATTTGGTTGGTGGGCAGTAAAAATGCGCAATTGAGATGCGTTCTTACTGCCTTCCAACTGCTCCCCTTTAAAAGCTAAATTCACCTTTCAAAAAAAAAATATAAATGTACCTATTTTTGCAGGTAAGAAAACAGATGTCTTCCTCCAGCTTTGTGCCCAAATCCTCATTTGGGCTTTCTATTACAAAGCTAGAGGAAGAAGGTATGAAATACGAGCATGCTGAGCAGTGTGCTTGCAGCCCATTCAGACTACAGGTACATCTGCCACAGTAGCAGATGGTACTTGTGTTTTTTCATCCACAGATCTCTGTGAATAAATGATGTGTCTGTGTGGGCGGAGCCCAGCATGAACAAAAAAAAATCTATTATGGTTCATGCACACAGACATAGATACAGGTGTACAGCATAAAATACACCCGTTTGCTGCATCAGGAAACCCAGCTGGTGGGTAATTCTGCCCATAGAGCTGTATTGACAGAATAAGCTGCAGTTGGGTATACAGCTGTAAAAGCTGGTTCCTGTGCTTACATGTGCATATGTATTCTCCTGAATGCGGAAGTCTTGTGTTTGGGAATGTATGCCCAATTATGCCCATATGTGAGCACATGTAGCTGGAAATACTGATGCTTATAGGCATACATCCACATACAGATTATACAATTCTATCGGCAGAATGGGCAACTGGGGCTCCAGCCATTCTCAGCCAGGGATGTGTGGATTCCTAGGGTTCAGCCAGAGGCTGCTAGGGGTTCCTTGAGCTGTGGCTTATTGACCTCCAACATGATGATGCCTGTAAAGTTTTGGGGCCATTGTGACCTGGCAGAACCAGCAGCATGACACCAGTTATTTTTTTAATTGTAAGGGAGACATTCTGATCAGCACAGTAAAAGGGACATTCCTCCCAATGACCTCCAATGTAAGGAGCATTCTTCCCATCGACTTCCAATGTAAGGAGCATCCTTCCTACTGACCTCCAATGTAAGGGCATTCTTCCCACCAACCTCCAATGTAAGGAGCGTTCTTCTCACCGCTCTACAATGTAAGGGGCATTCTTCCCACCGACCTCCAATGTAAAGAGCATTCTTTCCACCGACCTCCAATGTAAGGAGCATCCTTCCTACTGACCTCCAATGTAAGGAGCATTCTTCCCACCAACCTCCAATATAAAGAGCATTCTTCCCACCAACCTCCAATGTAAGGAGCGTTCTTCTCACCGATCTACAATGTAAGGGGCATTCTTCCCACCGACCTCCAATGTAAGGAGTGTTCTTCTCACCAATCTACAATGTAAGGGGCATTCTTCCCACCGACCTCCAATGTAAGGAGCATTCTTCCCACCGACCTCCAATGTAAGAAGCATCCTTCCTACTGACCTCCAATGTAAGGGGCATTCTTCACACCAACCTCCAATGTAAAGAGCATTCTTCCCACCAAGCTCCAATGTAAGGAGCGTTCTTCTCACCGATCTACAATGTAAGGGGCATTCTTCCCACCGACCTCCAATGTAAGGAGCATTCTTCCCACCGAGCTCCAATGTAAGGAGCATTCTTCCCACTGACCTCCAATGTAAGGAGCATTCTTCCCGCTGATAACCAATGTAAGGAGCATTCTTCCCAATTTTTGTTTATTAAAAGTCTTGCAATCAATAAACATAAAATCATATACAGAATATACAAAAATAAATAATTCTATACCTCCAATGTAAGGGGCATCCTTCCCACCAACCTCCAGTGTAAGGAGCATTCTTCCCACCAACCTCCAATGTAAGGAGCATTCTTCTCACCGACCTACAATGTAAGGGGCATGCTTCCCACCAACCTCCAATGTAAGGAGCATTCTTCCCACTGACCTCCAATGTAAAGCGCATTCTTCCCAATTTTTCTTTATTAAAAGTCTTGCAATCAATAAACATAAAATAATATACAGAATATACAAAAATTAATAATTACATAGATATTTACACAAAAACTAAAATAAATATAGCAAAATCTGCTGTCAGACAAAAGCAAACTCTCAGAAATGAAACTGTTATTAATGGGGAAAATAAATCTTACTAAGACTCACATCACTACACCAGACATCAAACCCGGGAGGCCAAGAAATAACCCCGCCCCCATTATGCATGCAGCTCTTCTTCAAAAAGATCTTAACCAACAAAAACTAAGGGAGTTAAAATAACAGCATTAGAAAAGAGCCCCTCACCCAGAGATGGACAGTTCACCAAAGGCAGGTCTGATATTCCTCCACGCCCATATCCAGACTGCCCGAGGCTCCCTGCCCTTCTCAAGACCCAAAATCTTCCCAACCTCACCCAGAATATCGTGCACCACCACCTCAACAGGGAGGACTTTCTTGCGCAGGGTAATCTGACACCGTGCATTCTACGTGAAGTAACGAACAACTATACTAACTAGAAAAAGTGTATCCAAATCAAAGTCCCAGCGAGCTGGGAATGCCCCGTACACCCACTCTGCATAACTCATGCAATAGAGGAAGGGGATGCCCAGAACCCTCTCCACCCTTTTATATACCTCTACGTTAAAGGGACACTGGAGCAGAAAGTGGTCCATAGACTCTACTTTACCAACACACTCCACTCTAGAACAATCCTGATCATCCACAGGGCGGTGCTTCAGGTTCCCCCTCACATAGAGCCTTCCATGGAAAGTGAGCCAGGCTTGATCCCTAAACTTCAAAGAGATTCTCTCCAAATTAATTAAACGCAATCCCTCCCTCATTACAGAGTCTGGGCAATCCTTTAAGGCCAGTGACACACTGAAAGCAGAAGCCAAAATCCTCTCCCCCAGAAGCTTCCTGGGAAGGGACCTGATATCCTCCACTGTCACCTGCCACTGCTGAAGTATTTTCAGATATGGGAAAACATAAGCCAGGAGTCTGCCATGTTGGACTCTCAGACTTTTTATTGGCCTGCCATTTTCCCAGCAATGCAGAAAAGACTTAAACCAATATTGAAAAATACCCACCTATCCCGGCAGGGTCTCTGCTAACATATTACCAAGATTGTACTTTAAAAAGAGCAAAGAAAAGAAAACTATCGGGTTGACCATTCCTAGGCCACCCTCCTGCCTGGACAGATAAGCTACATTGACTTTGATCAGGTTCAGCCTATTTCCCCATAACAGTTGGAAAAAACAGCTGTAGACCCTTGCATAGAGAGATACTGGCACGATACAGATGAAGCTGACATATAAAAGATCGAGATCAAGTAAGTTTTAATCAAGTCAACTATCTTCCTCAAGGAGAGCCTCCATCTCTTCCAGCTCGCTACTTTGGCATTGGCATCCATCAACCTGCTTTCCCAATTTCAATGACCATAGTCACCAGGACCAAATTTGATGCCCAACACTTTAATTTCCTGCTGGGGTTCTGGGAAGGCATCTGGAAGTTCGAAGTTTTCAGGCTCCTCACCCATCCAGAAAACTTCACTCTTTTCATGATTGACTTTAGAGCCAGATGCCTCTGTGTACTGCTCCATCACAGAGACCACCTCCTGCGCCTCCTCAGTCCCAGAGACAATAACAGACACATCATCAGCATAGGCCATGACCTTCAAAGGTGGCGCACCAACAATGCCCAGAGGCACCCGCACAATGATGCACCCTCTGGCCTTCTTACAAAGGGGTCGATTGCTAAAGCATATAGCAGGGGGCTCAAAGGACAGCCATGGCACACACCAGATTCAATATCAAAAAGCCGTTCAACCCAACCATTAACAAGTGGGAAGCTCTCAGCCCCTCTATATAATGTCTTCAGCCAATCTTTAAACCTCCCCTGCAGGCCGTATCTACCAACTAGCAACCACAGATATTCATGATTCACTCGATCAAAAGCTTTTGCCTCATCTAATGCCAGTAGGTACTTTCTCCATCCAGCAGCCCTGTATCATTCCAAAGCATCCCGGACAGCCAAAACTGCTGAAAAGGTACTTCTACTTTGGACCGAACAATGCTGATGGCTTGATAACAAATCACCTGCTACTGACAACAAGCGTCAAAAAAGAATCTTTGCCAAGATCTTTTTATCAACATTGCGAAGACTGATGATGCACCAGTTCTCAATCATTGAGCGGTCTTTACCTTTTGACAGAATCACAGCGTATTGTCTCATGGAGGGAAGGAGCGAACCCTCTTCTAGACAGCTGTTAAAAACCTCTGCTAGAAAGGGAGCCAGAATGGAATTAAAACACTTGTAAAATTCAGCTGTCAATCCATCTGACACAGGTGATTATTTGGTAGCCAGCTTGTCTATAGCACGGACTACCTCATCGCTGATATTGGTTCTGGCAAATTCATTAAAAGCAATGTACCATTTCCAAATCCTGGAGTAGAATCCAGAAAGCTTTCCATCTTGTCCCGGCTAAGGTCCTTTCTTCCCAGGAGGTCTGCATAATATGACCCAAAGATCTCCAAGATCCCTGAACTGGACTTCATCAGGGTACCTGTACTGTCTTTCAGGCCAATGATCGTCTTAACTGCTATGCCTTGCTTACAGTTCTGGTAAGGATCAGGCAAGTGATATTTCCCATAATCCCTCTCCAGAACCAAGGAGGCATGCTGGTAATATTGACACTTCCTAAGAAGAAGCTTCGCTTCAGAGATCTCCCCTGAATCTCCTTCATACGAGACAAGACGATCAAGCTTCCTCTGCAAATGCAGGTAGGCAATATACAAACCAAGCTGCTTCTTTTTACTTATGGCCTTGAAAAGTCAAATTGCCCTTTGTTTCACAAGCTTCCACCACTCTGACTTACTGCTGCAAAAGTCCAGAATAGAAACCTGTGCCAGAAAAAAATCCTCAAAGGATTGTCTTACCTCTACATCTTCCAGGAGAGCCGAATTCGGTTTCCAGACACCCCTTTTTCTGGGTGGAGTGTCCGAGACATTCAGAGTCACAGACAGTATACAGTGGTCAGAGAACCCCACCTCCTTCAACTCGGGAGTCAATAAAGCAGAGTTCTCCTTTTCAAAAAAACTGTCTATCCTGCTGTGACTATTCCCTCTCTGAAATGTGCTGCCAGGGCAGTGCTTAATGTGCACATCTACCAGGCCTACCTGTCTAACCATATCTCTGAGAAAAACGCTATCATAACCCAGCCGGTCTATGAAGCCTCTCCTGTCTTCAGGAATAATTATGGTGTTAAAGTCGCCTCCAAAGACAACCTGCTAGGACCTAAAAAATAAGGGCTTGATCTTTGTGAGAAGGTATTTCCTGTCCCATTTTGACTGAGGTCCATAGATATTAATAAGCCGCAGGTCCTGCCCCTTAACAGAGATGTCTAAGACCATGCATCTCCCCATTTCTACCTCAATTACCCGCCGACATGTTACCATATCGGTTTTAAAATGCACCGCAACGCCGCTGCAGGTTCAGCCACAAAAGACCAAAAGGAGGGGCCACATCTCCACTCCCTTTTTGCTAGACATCGGCCAATGTATTCAGCCAGGTCTCTTGCAACAATAAAATCTCAGCATCAAACTCACTGACCAAAAATAAGACCATATCATGAGCTCATGCAGACTTAAAGCTGGCGACATTAATGGTTGCCACTTTAACGGAGCGGGAACTGCCATCAGGACGATTGGGGTAGTCGTTTCTTAACCTCTACCACACTCTCATCACCTGAAATTGTTCTCTTCAGGCCAGGGGCGGACTGACAACTCATGGGGCCCCTGGGCAATAGGGTATCATGGGGCCCCTGTGTGTCCTCACCCACACTCAAAAAACCCTATGAAAGGTACCAGGGGCATCTCATGGGGCCCCCTTCTGACCCCAGGCCCTCGGGCAGTGCCCGAGTGCTCGAATGGTTAGTCCGCCCCTGCTTCAGGCTATGTGATTCCCCCTCATCCATAGATGAGAAAGAAATTGATAGATCAGACTCCATCTCATCACCTGACAAAACTGAATAGGTGTTGCCAAGAGGGACCCCTCCTGGGTCTGATTCTGAGGAAGAAAGGACAGCTCTTCTCATCCTCCTCTTCTTCTTTTTCTTGCTCTTGACCCTCTCCCACCCATCAGCCGAATCCCCTTCAGCAGGTGAGACTTGGGACATGGATACCCTTCCCTGAGCCCTATCAGCTCCACCCCCATCCAGCACCCCACACTCTCCTGACCACGTTTGTGGTGTTGTGGCACATGTACCGGAAGTGGAGTAGGCCGAGAGGGAAGATCTGCTAAACCCGCCCACCCAGCAGCTTCCACTAGTCTGGAGGATCTACGTACAGTAGGATTAGGATCAGACTCAGAGATGACATTACTAGGGGACAGAGAATCTGCCACAACAGACGGAACAGACACAGGAGGGGCAACAACAGTTTCCTCCCTAGCATCAGCTGCCTCATCTTCTTTATCCAGCCTCTGCAGCTCATTCTCCAATCCTGGCAGGTTGTGTAGTGCCTCTGGGCACTGACTATATGGACGACCCAGCTGCTGGCATAAATTGCACCAAATCTGAGTGCATTCTTTGGCCAAATGGCCTAAATCCTGGCACAGTGAGCACTTCTTGATGGTGCAGGACGATGCAAAGTGGCCTTTCTCTCCACATTTATTACAAACCTTAGGCTGACCCT